GCAAGAGCCCATACCATGGAGTCCGCGCTGGTAACCAGTATGGTGCTTTTCGATCTCCACGCTCTTCGGTTGAACATCGCACCCAGTGCGGTCGTCGAAATCCCTGTTGGGGCCCATTGAGAGCGCAAAGAGGGCCCCTGGACGGCCCAAGACGGCCCCAAGAGAGCCCAGCTGACTCAAAAGGGCTTTCAGAGAGAACCAAGATGTCGTATGAAGGCACGCAGACGGTCCAAGAAGGTCCCAACACGGCTCCACGACGGCACCAAGATACACCCCAGACCAGACGGCCAAAATGGCACCAAGATGGCCCAAGAGGGTCGTGAGACGGCGAATGGGAGACACGACGACTGAAGAGGGCCCCACGAAACTAACAATACTGCCCCACAAGATCCCAAGACAGCACCAAGACGGCCCGGATAAGCCCCACGGCCGCTCCTCAGAAGAGGAGACGTGAAGCATCGCGTGTTCTGCTTCTTTGGAAGGTGCTTGCAGGATCGTCACACGGAGTGGTCCGCTCGCACGGCGACGTATTTACTTATCATCTCGTTGACATCATGTCCTCAAGTTCTGTATCTGCGCGCGGGAATGGATGTTCAATGTTGGGGGTGCTCGGATCGAGGAAGGCGGAGAACACGAGGGCTTCGGGACCCTCTGGAACCCCAGATCTTGCCGGAACCCGCGCGCCCCTCCGAGACGCCGACACCCACATCCTAAAGCTGACGGGACTTAGACAGCATTTTGACAGGATCATATCAACAAATTGGCAAATACCCCTGCTGACACCAACAACCAGAGCCTACAACAGCCGCGACCAATATCAGTGCGCCACATGTTCGCCGCCGCCTGAGACATGTTGGACGCAGCAGGATATGAACCCCAACAGATGGCCCATAATGTTGGATCAATCGTAATGCAGGCCGAGGCCAGCTTGAAGAATACATCGCTCATGTCTCTTAGTGCTGTTTCCCGATTGTGCTGAATGGTGACAATTCCCAGCCGTGGTTAACTACACGCTGTCATAAACAATTGCAAGCGTGATGGGGAAGCCTGGCCTCCTCCAACGCTCAATCTAGCATGCGCGGGAGGGCGGTGAACCGAACGGCGACCAACTTCGAGCACTTACTTCGACGGCACTGACACTGCAAGGTCGCACGAAGCCGTTGGCGCAAAACCTGCGGAATCTGATACAAGATTCCCTCCAATCCCAAGCGGCACCGGCCGGAACCTAGCCGAGTCTGAGCGGCACCTGGGTGGCACCCTGGAGAGGCCCGCAGGCATCCCGAGGAGCCAGCCCATGGGGACCCAACAGCGTGCGGAGAGTCACGCGGGCCCCGCCGCCCTGATACCCCCGAGAAGCAAGCGGGGGGGTGGCAGGGGGGGAGGGCGAGCGAGGGAGAAGGACTTCAGGGAAGGGAGGCGCTGTGGGGATTGCCTTCGTTCGTCCCCTTCCTCCTCTGTCCCGTTTCCCTCCCCTCCTTCCCCCCTCTCCCCTTCCGGCGAATCAGATGCGCAATCCAACAAATCCTCTCCCCTTCCATAAGCCTGTGCCGCTCCTGCTAACGCATGGGGGGCGCGCCCCTGGGTGCCGCGTCTTCCGAGGAAGAGCGCCAATTCTCGAATCTCAGGGACTCGAGGGGTTCCAGTCCCCCTTTCGCCAACAGATCGGAAAGCGCCAAACGCTGGGTGCTCACAGCCGCGTGCCCCAAGAGGCCGCGTCTTCCGAGGGCGAACCGTGCTTCCCGAATCTCGATGAATCCTGCTTGTTCGAACGGACGTCTCCGACGACTTCGACGACGACAACGACGCCGACGCCGACGACGACGAAGACGACGACGACGACGCCAACGAAGGCGACGACGAGGAAGGAGGAAGGACGACGACGGCGACAGCGACGACAACGACGAAGGAGGAGGGAGGACGGTGACGACGCGAACGACGACGAAGGAGGAAGGACGGCGACGCCGACGACGACAACGACGAGGGAGGAGGGAAGACGACGACAACGACGACGACGACGGCGACGACATAGGAGGGACGACGATGAGACGCCGACGACGGACGACGACGACGACGTGGGAGGAGGAGGAAGGACGACCACGGCGACAACGACGATGGAAACGACCACGACGCCAAAGAGGACGACGACGACAAACAGGAGAAAAGACAGAGGACGACGTAGGCGACGACGACGACGACGCGGGAGGAGGGAGGACGGCGACGACGACGACGACGACGCAAGAGCGCGCGCGCACGCTTTTGTTGAAAATCCGTGTTGCGAAACCTTGGGTTCTTGTAGGTTTTTTGGACGCACGATTTTGAAATCCTTCCGAAACCGATGGGTTTCGAAGGTTTTCGGCATACGTCCGCGACGACGCGCGCGTCTGCACTTCGTCCCATTTTTTGCAGAGGATTCTCGCGACGGCACACGCGCAAGGGCGTTCGACAGATTTCGACATGCGCGCGCGCGAAGCCCGTTTGGTAGCATTTTGTGAAAATCTTGAAAAAAAACCTATGGTTTTCTTAAGATTTCGCAAGAGCTCGCGCGGAAGTTGTTTTAGCAAACCAGTGTTGCGAAACCATGTGTTTTTGTATGTTTTTCGGAAACTCGATTGCGAAATCCTTCCGGCACCGAAGGTTTTTGAAGGATTTCGGCATGCGCGCGCGACGACGCGCGCGTGTGCACTTCGTCCCATTTGTTGCAAGGGATTCGCGAAAAAGTGTTATGTTGGAAAGAAAAATGTCCCCGCATAGTGTTATTTGACAGGGAACCGCAGGGGGGGGGGGAACCCGGCTTGGCTGGGATGGTATGAATTCATATATAGGATGGACATGTGGTCAAAATCATATATGATTTACAGCACGCGCGGGGGAACCGATAAGTCCGGGGGGGGGGGGTAGAATCTATTAGTCTTTTAGAAAAGAGAATCCACTTTGACCGTCTTGAAGCTGTCCTCTCCGCTGCTCGTGCAAACGTCCCACCCTCCCACCAGCAACTTGGTCGCAAGACATCTTAAGACAAGACCGTGACGGTAGGTACCACATGGCACTTGGCCACGACACCGACGCCGACGACGACAGCGACAACGACGACGACGGCGCCGCCGACACCGACTACGACGACACCGACGACGTCTCCAACGACTTCGACGACGACAACGACAACGACGACACCGACGACGACGACGCCGACGACGACGATGACGACGACGACGATGACGCCGACGCCGACGACGCCGACGACGACGACGAAGACAACGACGACGACAACGACGACGCCAACAAAGACGACGACAAGGGAGGAGGGAGGACGACGACGGCGACAACGACGACAACGACGACAACGACGAGGGAGGAGGGAGGACGGCGACGACGCGAACGACGAAGAAGGAGGAAGGACGGCGACGCCGACGACGACAACGACGAGGGAGGAGGGAAGACGACGACAACGACGACGACGAGACGCCGACGACGGACGACGGCGACGACGACGAGGCAGGAGGAGGAAGGACGACCACGGCGACAACGACGACGGAAACGACCACGACGCCAAAGAGGACGACGACGACGAACACGAGGAAAGACACAGGACGACGTAGGCGACGACGACGACGACGCGGGAGGAGGGAGGACGGCGACGACGACGACGACGACGCAAGAGCGCGCGCGCACGCTTTTGTTGAAAATCCGTGTTGCGAAACCTTGTGTTTTTGTAGGTTTTTTTGGACACACGATTTTGAAATCCTTCCGAAACCGCTGAGTTTTGAAGGTTTTCGGCATACGCGCGCGACGACGCGCGCGTCTGCACTTCGTCCCATTTTTTGCAGAGGATTCTCGCGACGGCACACGCGCAAGGGCGTTCGACAGATTTCGACATGCGCGCGCGCGAAGCCCGTTTGGTAGCATGTTGTGAAAATCTTGAAAAAAAAACCTATGGTTTTCTTAAGATTTCGCAAGAGCTCGCGCGGAAGTTTTTTAGCAAACCAGTGTTGCGAAACCATGTGTTTTTGTATGTTTTTCGGAAACTCGATTGCGAAATCCTTCCGGCACCGAAGGTTTTTGAAGGATTTCGGCATGCGCGCGCGACGACGCGCGCGTGCGCACTTCGTCCCACTTTTGCAAGGGTTTCGTGAAAAAGTGCTATGTTAGAATCAAACATGTCACCGCATAGTTTTTTTTACAATGGAACCTCAGGGGGGGATACCGGTTGGCCTGGGACATTGCGATGTCACATTTAGGATGGACATGTGGTCATAATCATATATGATTTACATACCCGAAAAAAGGAGAATATATGTGGTGCACCTTATGTTCTGCGATCTATGACGCTGGTGTACTCTACGCGGTGCATTCTACGCTTAGCTGCCCCGATACGAACACGCAACACGTAGCGTATTGATACGGAGCGCAGCACGTAGTACCCTGAAAACGTAGGTATCACGCGATACGCTCGCCAAAACGTGGGCCAATACTCTGAGTCAAAACGTATTGACACGGACGCGTTGAGCACGGTACGTGTTGCGTATCAAAACGCGCGTATCGAGGCAGCTAAGATTCTACGTGGTCCAATCTATGATGCGCAATCTGGGCGGCGACGGGGCGGCGATGGCCAGCACGGGGCCGCCAGACCGCCTTCGAGGCCCAGACGACGGGTGGCGACGGGGCGGCGACGGGGCGGCGACGGCAACCACATAGTAGCCAGACCGAAGAGACGGCCCAGACGACGCGCGGCGACGAGGCGGCGATGGGGCGGCGACGGCGGCCAGATAGCCGCTAGCCCGAAGTCACGGCCCAGTTCCTGAGACAGCAATAAGAACCCCTAAGTACAAACACGGTTGGGGGAGTGTGTGTATATATATGCATATGTATATATATTTATATATATATATATGTATGTATGTATATGTATGTATATATATACATATTGCGGACAAAAGAGAGGTACATGACGAAGGGCCGAGAAGGCGCAAACGTGTTTTACGCAGCCAGCTCGCACTGCCAAGTCACTCCGCCGGGACACTCAGAGCAACACCGCCAACAGGGCCACTTGGAACCACCTTCCATGCCATGCGCGCCATCGAAGGGCTTCGTCGCATCGTCCTCAGATTCCTGCTGCTGCTCTTCCTACCCGTCCTCTGCCTCATCAACCAATTACCCGGCCACATCCTTCTTACCCGTTTATCCCCCATCCCTCTCGTCATCTTCCACGTGTTCCTTTTCCTTCTGGTGGCCCTCGTTCCATTAGATCCCCCCATATTCAAACTCAGTCTCATCCTCCTCCAATCTTACTTCCTGCCGCTGCTGCTCACCCTCATCGCACGCCTCATCCTCCTCCATCTCTTCATCCTTCCCTTTCTGCTTCCTCTCTTCCCCCATGGCCTCGTGTTTCTGCCAACGCTTATTCACTTTCCCCCTTCTCCTCCCACTCTCCTTCTCTCCCCCTCCCTCCCCTGACTGATGAGTCCCTCGTCCTGCTGCTGATCCTCCTAGCTCCGCTGCTCCTCCCCCTCACCCCCCCTCCCTCTTCTGCCTTCGCCCCCCCCCCATCCATTCGATTCCCCATCCGCCAGCCCCCACTCCCCTCCTCCTGGCGACGCCAATCTTCGTCGGGAGCTGCAGGGGGGGGAGGGGGAGGAGAGGATGGAGGGAAGCAGGGCGTGGCGGGGCAGAGGGAGGAGGGAGGGAGGGGCAGGGGAGGGAGGATGGAACAAGTCCGTGGTCTCTTGATTGGGGAGGCGGCGAAGGGAAGAGAGGGAGGGGGGAGTGAAGTGCAGGTGAGGTGTGCGAGAGAGAGAGAGGATGGCGAGTGAGGGTAAGAGGGAGGAGAACGTGACGGGATGAGGGGGGAGAGGGGGCATTAGTGGGGAGAAGGAGTGGACGGTGCGACAGCAGGGAAAGGTCTTGCAGCCCATGCCCATAAGGGCACAACGTCTACGAGAAGATGCGCGCAGCCAGGGGCCTCCTCTCCAGACCGCCCGCGATAGGGCAAGGATGCCAGGAGTACTCGATGGAAGGGATATGCCATGCAGGCATCGCTGTCAGAAAGGCTGCGAGGAGGCTGCGGAGCCGACTTCCTACACACAAAGCGGGAAGTGTCAAGGGGTAGTGCTGGATTCCTCTGGCTAGCCTGCGCTGCGTTGGTAGGCCGCGCCGCGACGCCTGCTTACGCCTGAATCTCGGGTGTGCATCTGCCATGGAGCGAGAGCGGTGGGGTTCCCGCTCACGCGGACCGATTCAGGGTGCCTGCGGCGGGCTTCTGCCGAACCCATCCTACCCACGACTGTTGGGTCCGTGGCTCGCAGATGCGCAACGCTCCTGCCGTACAACGGTTTTGGTACTGCTCGGTTCCCCGCTCCCCGATATCACAAGTCGTAAGAGACCCGCGACGCAGTGAAAGGAAATAGAACTGGGCATCTCGATCGTCTCACTGATGATTTCATGCTGCTTATCAGCCCTTGAAGGTCCCGAGGGCCAAACCCAGGCAACAACGCCCGCCATGTTGGTTCTGGTGCGCGGATTGCGAAGGCTTCCCCTGCATTGGCCTTCGACAGTGAAAGACTGTGAGAATGTCTGGCTCTGCTCGGGCCTTCAGAAGTTTCCCGGGACGTCCAGGTCCCGACCCCACCGTGGACACCTGGATGCCTGGACCTGTTCCACGGGTCTGTTTCCCATCCGGAGCCCATACCTTACAGTCCCGGTTCCCTGGATCTGGCTATTCACCCCGAGCCAATGGGCTCCCAAAGACCGAAAATGAGCAACACCCTCCGACATCTGAAATCGCAGCGGAAGGAAATCTGGGGATGTCCAGGGGTCGAGAATCGGGCCGGCATGCCCATGGAATGGCAGCAACACCTCCCGAAAACGCCACACGCCCCGTCGCTTTCGCAACGCGGCTCACCTCCTGCTCGCCAGTGCCGCTTCTGCCGATACACCTCCACCATCACCTCCTCCTCCTCCTCCTCACCCCTCTGCTCTTTCTTCCTCCTCCTCCTCCTCCTCCTCCTCCTCCTCCTCCTCCTCCTCCTCTTCCTCGCCCTCCATTTGATGATCACCCACATAGAACATCCTGCTGGTCCATTCTTACTCCTCCTTGTCCTACCTCTCCCGTCCTCCCTCTTCGCGCCTCTCCCTGCTCCGGACTCCCTCCTGCCTTCCCCCATTCCTCCATGCCTTTCTTTCAAGACGGATAAAAGAATCCCTCTCCCTTCCCTCCTCCGTCCTCCTCCTCCCCTCCTCTTCCTTCTCCGTCCGATCTCGTCGCTCCCCATCCTCTTTTCCTCCCTCCTCCTTGTTTCTGCCCCCTCCGTCATGCCTCCTACTCCTAAAATACTCGTCCCGTCATCCTCCCTCACCTCGGCGGCAAAAACTGTCTGTTGACAGACCGCGCGGTGACATTGGGATCCCAGGAGGCCTCACCGCACGGTCTGCCACCGCATGGTCTTGAGACCTAGGAGGCCCCAGTCGCCCGAGATATCCTCGGAGAACTTCCAGAGCCCCAACATC